GATACTCACAATTTGAACAGACCAATATCAATGGATGAAATAGAAGAAGAAATCAAAAGACTACCAACCAAGAAAATCCCAGGACCAGATGGGTATACAGCGGAGTTTTACAAAACCTTTAAAGAAGAATTAATACCAATACTTTTCAAGTTATTTCAGGAAATAGAAAAAGAGGGAGCTCTGCCAAATTCATTCTATGAGGCCAACATCACCCTGATTCCGAAACCAGACAAAGACACCTCAAAGAAAGAAAACTACAGACCAATATCTCTGATGAACCTAGATGCAAAAATCCTCAATAAAATTCTGGCGAATCGGATACAAAGGCACATCAAAAAAATTGTGCACCATGATCAAGTAGGATTCATCCCTGGGATGCAAGGATGGTTCAATATACAGAAATCAATAAATGTTATTCACCACATTAATAGACTTAAAGATAAGAACCATATGATCATCTTGATAGATGTGGAAAAAGCATTTGACAAAGTACAGCATCCCTTTATGTTCAAAACATTAGATAAAACTAGGGATAACAGGAACTTACCTCGACATTGTAAAAGCTATCTATGCTAAGCCTCAGGCTAGCATCATTCTGAATGGAGAAAAATTGAAGGCATTCCCTCTAAAATATGGAACAAGACAGGGATGCCCTCTATCACCACTTCTGTTCAACATAGTTCTCGAAACACTGGCCAGAGCAATTAGAGAGACGAAAGAAATTAAAGGCATAAAAATAGGAAAAGAAGAACTTAAATTATCACTATTTGCAGATGATATGATTCTATATCTAGCAGACCCAAAAGGCTCTACAAAGAAACTATTAGAGCTAATAAATGAATTCAGCAAAGTGGCAGGATATAAAATCAACACGCATAAATCAAAGGCATTTCTGTTTATCAGTGACAAAACTTCTGAAACGGAAATGAGGAAAAACACCCCATTCACAATATCTTCAAAAAAAATAAAATACTTGGGAATCAACCTAACAAAAGAGGTGAAAGACTTATACAATGAAAACTACAGAACCCTAAAGAGAGAAATAGAAGAAGATCTTAGAAGATGGAAAAATATACCCTGTTCATGGATAGGCAGAACTAACATCATCAAAATGGCGATATTACCAAAAGTTCTCTATAGGTTTAATGCAATGCCAATCAAAATCCCAACGGCATTTCTTGTAGAAATAGAGAAAGCAATCATGAAATTCATATGGAAAAATAAAAGACCCAGAATAGCAAAAACAATGCTAAGCAGGAAGTGTGAATCAGGCGGTATAGCAATACCAGACTTCAAACTATACTACAGAGCAATAGTAACAAAAACAGCATGGTACTGGTACCAAAACAGGCGGGTGGACCAGTGGTACAGAATAGAGGACACAGAGACTAATCCACAAAGCTACAACTATCTTATATTTGATAAAGGGGCTAAAAGCATGCAATGGAGGAAGAATAGCATCTTCAACAAATGGTGCTGGGAAAACTGGAAATCCATATGCAACAAAATGAAACTGAATCCCCTCCTCTCGCCATGCACAAAAGTTAACTCAAAGTGGATCAAGGAGCTTGACATCAAATCAGAGACACGCCGTCTGATAGAAGAAAAAGTTGGCTACGATCCACATTCGGTGGGGTCGGGCTCCAAATTCCTTAATAGGACACCCATAGCACAAAAGTTAATAACTAGAATCAAGAAATGGGACTTACTTAAACTGAAAAGTTTTTTCTCAGCAAGAGAAACAATAAGAGAGGTAAATAGGGAGCCTACATCATGGGAACAAATTTTTATTCCTCACACTTCAGATAGAGCCCTAATATCCAGAGTATACAAAGCACTCAAAAAATTAGACAATAAGATAACAAATAACCCAATCAACAAATGGGCCAAGGACCTGAATAGACACTTCTCAGAGGAGGACATACAATCAATCAACAAGTACATGAAAAAATGCTCACCATCTCTAGCTGTCAGAGAAATGCAAATCAAAACCACCCTAAGATACCATCTCACTCCAGTAAGATTGGCAGCCATTATGAAGTCAAACAACCAGTGCTGGCGAGGATGTGGGGAAAAGGGTACTCTTGTACATTGCTGGTGGGACTGCAAACTGGTGCGGCCAATTTGGAAAGCAGTATGGAGATTCCTGGGAAAGCTGGGAATGGAACCACCATTTGACCCAGCTAGTCCCCTTCTCGGACTATTCCCTGAAGACCTTAAAAGAGCGTACTACAGGGAGGCTGCCACATTGATGTTCATAGCAGCACAATTCACAATTGCTAGACTGTGGAACCAACCCAGATGCCCTTCAATAGATGAATGGATAAAACAAATGTGGCATTTATACACCATGGAGTATTACGCAGCACTGAAAAATGACAAAATCATGGAATTTCCAGGGAAATGGATGGCACTAGAGCAGATTATGCTTAGTGAAGCTAGCCAATCCCTAAAAAACAAATACCAAATGTCTTCTTTGATATAATGAGAGCAATTAAGAACAGAGCAGGGAGGAAGAGCAGGAAGAAAGGATTAACATTAAACAGATACTTGAGGTGGGAGGGAAAGGGAGAGAAAAGGGAAACTGCATGGTAATGGAGGGAGACACTCATTGTTATACAAAATTACATATAAGAGGTTGTGAGGGGAATGGGAAAATAAACAAGGAGAGAAATGAATTACAGTAGATGGGGTAGGGTGAGAAGATGGGAGGGGAGGGGAGGGGGGATAGTAGAGGATAGGAAAGGTAGCAGAATACAACAGTTACTAATAGGGCATTATGTAAAAATGTGGATGTGTAACCAATGTGATTCTGCAATCTGTATTTGCGGTAAAAATGGGAGTTCATAACCCACTTGAATCTAATGTATGAAATATGATATGTCAAGAGCTTTGGAATGTTTGGAGCAACCAATAAAAAAATAAGTAAAATAATAATAACAATAATAATAAAGAGTAGACAGAGACAAGGTGCAGAGTCAGGGAAGGTGGTAGAGTGGCTCTTTGTCCAAGTGGTCACGTTGATTTATAATAATAGGTCACATTAGGTCATTAGTACCAATAACCACATTATTGTTTAGAGTAGCAGTAAGGTTGCTTATTCTGCAGTTACATTTCATAGTTACAATGTGCAATGCTAAGAGCTTTGTGCAGTTCTCAAGAAGGTCCATTGTCTGAAGTTAAGGTTAGGCGGGCAGCTCCAAGGCACTGGAGCTTGGTGAAACACTGTATCAAGTAAGCAAGTTCCTGTGTTCCTAGGAGTTTTGTGCCTAAGATTAAGGCCCAAGCTGATAAGACTCTATAATGGAGGGCATTACCATAGCAACCAGGCATCCTATGCCTTTGCACAGAAACTTTCCCAGGCACCAAGCATGCCACAGCCATGAAGTCATCCAGGACCCCAGTCCCAAACACAGAACCCCTACAGGAACCAGTAAAAAGTATACACAGACTTATACAAGCTTAAGGAGTTTTTGTTTGTTTGTCTTGGGGGGGGAAAAAACAGGGAATGATAGAAAGAACCTAAATATTCACAAGGAATGGGAAGCGTGTCAATCACATTTTACCTTCATCTCCCAAATGCAGCAAAGAATGTGGAAATTTATGGCACACCCATACTACATTACATATAACCTACAAGAATATTCATGGATACATGTCTCATCAAATCAGGAACATCTTTTAATGTGTGTTTCACTTTTAATATGATAAAAGACTTGAGATGATAGAAGTTCAAACCAACAGGCAAACTTACTTAAGAAAAAAGAAGAAAACCAAAAACAGAGAAGAAGATTGGAAGGAAAGAGTTATCAAAAAATGTCCTGAATGGAACATGAGTTCATATATTCAAAAAGATTCTTCTCATGACCAGGCCCAACAAGATGAAACAGACTTCCTCAAAGTATTTCTTCATGTGGAATACAGAGAAAATGCTAGAAGCATGGGCAGAGACTTGGGACCGAAATCACTGGCACTACTGGAAGTGCTAGGACTTCTCAATAGCAGCTCAATCAATGAAACAGCTTTTGCTATTTTGAGGGAAAGCAATTTCCAGCCAAGATTTCCATGCCAAAGCAAAAAACATTCAAAAATAACGGTGAAATGCTGACATTTTCAGACTTGAGAAATTTCTTGCTTTCATTATATTTTCTGTCTGTTTTTTCTCTTTGAGATAAGGTTCTCCCTATGTTCTTCAAAATCCAGGGCTCAAGCAATCTTCTCACCTCAGCCTAATGAGGAGTGGGAAACTGCTGTCTGGTGGGTGGCTTCAAAAGTTCTTTGAAATGTCTCACCCTTCCACTGGGAAAGACAAGTGGAAGTGCTGAGATAAGCTGTGCATGGGGGCACACGTCGAAAATCTCAGCAGCTCAGGAGACTGAGGCAGAAGCATTGTGAGTTCAAAGCCAGCCTCAGCAACAGGGATGCGCTAAGTAACTCAGTGAGATCTTGTCTCTAAATAAAATACAAAATAGGGCTGGGATGTGGCTTAGTGGTCAAGTGCCCTAAATTCAATCCCTGGAAACAACAACAACAACAACAAATTAGTGCTGAGATAGTAAATCATACGAGGGATATCATATTGTAGGAATCTGGATCCAACTTGGGTTTCTTGCAGGATTAGAGCACTTTGAAGAAGTTTTACTAATAACTGTTGAAAACACAAGTCTTGAAACTAAAAGATGCCTCAATGTATGGCTCTCTGTAATCTACTTCCATGGAGGTATGTGGTTATACTTCAGAAAGTGGGTGAAGCTTGGGACGATGAAAACATTCCAGAGGATTTAAATTCTGAGATGCCTCTCTTCTCTTCTCCTGGGAAATAATACTTGAGGAGAAACTATTTAGATGGAAGATTAAGGTTTTTTTTTTTTCTCTCTCTCCAAGGAGATGCAGAACACAGTGTGAATGTATATATGAGTCAAATGAATCAAATTTCCATATACAGCACAGACATATGAATGAGATGACATGGGTCTGCCTCTCATCACTTCATCCCAGGAAAGGCAAGAGTTGTGACAAGGGGAACAGGTATGGCTACTGTCATTAGTAAGATGAATACATCCCTGTTCCCAGAAACCTCAAGCATGCTTTCAGGATAAAAGAAATAAGTGTAGATATCAAAAGCCTTACTGCCTGCATTGTGATGTCTCTGGATGTATTGAAATGCAAATGGCTGGAGTTAGGGCCTGAGAGCTTGGCAGTGGGTAGGTACATGGAGCTAAATGTAGGAACCACAGCAGGGAAAGAAAGTTTCCAAGAACAGAAATGTCAGATTTTGTAACAGCAAGTGCAATTCATATACTCAGAATCATATAAACACCAGATTTACACATCTCCCTGGTTTTTGTTTGTATGTTTATTTGATTTTGATGCTGGGGATTGAACCAAGGGTCACATAACCACTAAGTCACTTTCCCACCCTTTTTATGTTTTTTACTTTGAGACAGGGTCTTAATAAGTTTTGATGTTGGCCTTGAACTTGTGATCCTCCTCCTTCACACTTTCATCACTGAGATTATAGGCACACCTGGCTGCCCCAGATTATGAAAAGATATATTATTATTTTTCCTTTTTTCTATTTTCATTGTTTATACTTCATATAATTTTGTACTTGTAATTTGATCTCTGTCTTTCAGGGGGAAGGTCTTCACTTTGTATGAGTTTAACAATCCCCAAAGTACTCCTGCCATTAAAAGAACAATGAACACCTGATGAAAAGACTGATGAAAAGGATAGACTAATGAAAAGCAGAAAGCTTAAAATTGTCTGCTGCTCAAAGAGAAAAAGAGATAACCTGTGGCACAAAATGGACAGAATTGAAATACAGGAAGTCAGCAGTTGATCCTATTTAGATAAATATTTTATTTTGGGGGTGAGGTGTAACTCTGTGGTAGACACTTGTTTTATTGTGCACTGGGTTCTGCTAGCAGAGCTGCAAAAGAAGGAAAGCAAGAAAGAAACAGAAAAAGGGAGGGAAAGAAGAGAAAAGAAAAATACACAAACAAAAATATATACATATATACGAAAACAATATATATATATTATAAAAAATAAATTTTTCTGTGGTTGTCAAAATGAATCAAACAGTGATAGAGTGGGGTGAAAACTGTCTATTCGAGGTCTTAGAGAAAAAATTCACTGTTTAAATCAAACTCCTACTTTTCCAGCACTATTCAATATCCCATAAACAAATGAGGGGGAGGGTCACAGACTTCCTTATGCTTGATGTGTAATTTTAAGATGCTCAAACAGACAAGAAGCACATGAAAAATATGCTCAAGGTAATTGTACATTAGTTGATGGTACGAAGCCACACACTTTATATTGGTTAACCGTTAATCTCATAAATGTCATATGAACTTATAAAGGAAGAAAAACATTTTTAACAAAATAATACAGAGTGATTTAGGCATAAGAAGAAGTATTGACACACAACAGAACTTAAATAAACCTTGAAAGCATCATCTAAGTCTTTCTCTCTCCCTCTCCCTCTCTTCTTCTATCTCCTTTACCTCCAGTAAGTTAAAAAAAAAAAAAAAAGAATGATCGACAAAATATGTATGCTATTTTTATATTTATCATGAGTGAATGTGCAATTTTCTCTTTCAGTAAGCAACTTTTGGGATGTGTGTTCCTGGAAATCTTTCACATGTCAAGCATAAGGAAGAATCTTGAAGTGAGAGAAAGACAACAACTACAAGGCGGGCAGTGGATTCTAGTGCATTTCTACTAGAAGACATAAAGTTTCAGAGGTGGAATCCCAAAACTACAACTCTCCTTCCTCTAACTTCCTCTGGATCAGGATCGCAGAGCAGAATTTCTCTGGAAAGGAAGATTCCTTTGCATTCTTGGCATCTTGTGGTTGTAGGGCACATTTAGTGAAGCTCCATCTGTGTCCCCAAGACTCATTATTCCACTCTTGTTGTCCTTCCTTATTGGGGAATTCCATTTTTGGCAGAAAGGAAGTTTTCCTGTTTTACTCAATGAAGCCGAATCTAGTGGGCAGAGGTAGGAGAAGAATGCTGCCCTGAAGTCTGAGCTGGTGTTCCCCCAGACTTGCTCTTAGCATCACAATAAATAGTTCTGGAGTCTGCCTCAGAAGAGAGATCGTTCTTGACTATGCAGCCAGGGACTGGCTTTTCCTCCAGTTGGCTTATCTTGACACCTTTAAACTCAGTAAGGACAATAAAGAATGATGTGAGGGCTTCCATAGTTTGGAAATTTTGCGGGGTCTATTTTTTTCCTTCTTTCAAAATGGGCTTTCTCCTCAGAATCAGTAGTTAGCAAATACTAGCATTTTTTTTTTTTTTAATGTCAGATGAGATAAAACCCTTTTTTTTTTTTTTTTTTTTTTCCGGTACTGGGAATTGAACTCAAGTCTCTCAACCCAATGGAGCTGAAATTCTGTGAGAGTTTGGCGTTGTTTCTAGGCCACCACCCCAAGAGGTACTTAAAGCAAGTTAGAGCACTGAAGCATGGTCGACAAACTACCTGGGTGTGTATGTGAGTATGACTATATTTACTCCTTGGTCATAAGAAAATGGCTCAGAGCTACAGTGTTTGCTGTGTGGTAGGGGCTATTTGCTTGTTCTTTGCAGGCGGGCTGCGGCATTCATCTGGATTACAGTAAGCAGAAATGTGCACAGAACTTGTCTACCTGTATTCTTTCATAAAGTACTTTAACAAAAAAGATAGGATATCTTCTTTAGAAACCATGGGTCAAATGGCCCCCTACATGTCTTTCACTGTGGATGGAGATACACACACACACACACACACACACACCCCAGGGATTTGGAATTGTACCTTTAACCTCTGAGCCTCATCTCCAGATCTTTTATGTTTTATTTTGACACAGAGTCTTGTTAAGTTGTTGAGACTGGATTTGAACTTGCTATCCTCTTGCTTCAGCCTCTTGATTACAGGTGGATTACAGTATGTGCTTGCACTCCTGGCTTGCTCTTGACTTTGAACTCTGCTCTCTGATCCATAATTAACAACCATTCCTCCGAGCTTAATGCTCTTCAGGCACTATTACAGACCCCTGGGATATACCCCATATGAAATTGTTGCAAAAGTCAACAGTCACAAGAATCTTCCCTCTCTTGATGGAGTATATTGTTCACTGTTTAAAATCTGGAGGTGAGGATTAGGGGAAAACAGGTAGGAGAAAAGGAGGTGGGACAGCGCATTAGGAACCAGTTTTAAAGAAGGTGAAAAGCAAAATCCTATTCTAAGAGATCAGAAAGAGATAAGGGACTGAACCCCTAGAGATGTTAGATGGTTTATATGCCCAAAAGGTCTGTTGGGCTGCTGTGAAGGGGGAGATTTTTTACAAATTTATACAAGCACTCCTGAGAGATATACCTGCTACATTCCTTAACTTTTGCAGAACTGAAAGAACTCCAGTAAAAGAAGACCAGGCTGCCACACTTTGGAGGTCTCCTTTACTCTTGATGCTTCCTGGGCCCAGGGCACATGGGATGACCAAACCTGTAGAGTTAAGTAAAAGAAAAGTTAAATTATAATTCATTATGTTGCATAAGTACTTAAATGTATCTAACTGTAAGTTGTTTTAAAGAAGGTAAAGAAGGCTGCTTTTTGCCTTCTGTTTTTTTCTTATTGATTTGACAGTACAACCTGTAGAGGCCATCAAGAGGAGGAAGTGTTAGAAGAGGACTTCTACCCACCCAGAAATACATGTTTCAGAAAAAGCAAGGGTCTGACAAGAAAGAGGTATGTAGTGCCTGTCTTTGGTAGTGCCTATATTTGTCTGCGAGAAAGTGAAGACTGATTGAAGCCGTTAAGACTTGGCCTTCTGAGACAGAGAAGAAACCAGAGTAGAGAAGAAGAAACTTCATCAGAACAAGGTGCAGAAAATGGCCAGGCGCTGTGGTGCATACCTCCCAGAGGCTCTGGAGTCTGAGATAGAAGGATCGAGAGTTTAAAAACCAGCCTTGGCAACAGCAGGGCACCAAGCAACTCAGCGATACCCTGTCTACAAATAAAATACAAAATAGGGCTGGCTCAGTATAATAAAATTTATATTCATCAAATGGTACCATTAAAAATACAAAATGAAATGACAGATTGGGAGAAACAAATCACCTCACATTAGCAAAACCCTTTTTTTTTTTTTGGTACTGGGAATTGAACTCAACGCACTCGACCCTTGAGCCACATCCTCAGCCCTATTTTGTGTTTTATTTAGAGGTTGCCCCTGAGCCTGATTCCCTGATTTCTGATTTAAAAAAAAAAAAAAAAGATGCAAAAAGTGCCAGAGGTTTCTAACAGGCATAAATGTGAAATGTTCTGTATAGCCAGACAGTAGACAGCTCTGAGTGTCTCTATAGGAGTCATTTAGTAACTAACTTGAGGGGATATTTGGTCTTTTCCTGAATTCCTAGGAATCAAAATCTTCATTCCTTGTCCTGGTTTGTTTGTTTTTTGGGGGGTACAATCTAGAAATGTTTCTTGTCTAGATTTCTGGACATGTGACCTGTTTTTATCTATTTCTGCACAAATGTTACCTCTGCTAAAGTTCTATGGCTCTCTGACCTTTTAGGGGTAGGCAGGTTGTTGTTTCTTAAGCTGTCAGATGTGTGAGTAAGGTACCGTTTTTAAGGATACTTTCTAGGAATGTCCTATTCAGCCTTGTGGCCTACATGCACTGCCTTCCCTATGATAGTTATGGAAAGGTCTGGTTAATAATGGTGAATCTTTTCAAGGGGAAAAAAGTATTAAAGAAGTACTCTGTACAAGAGGGGTCCCATACCTGGTGTTTCAGGATGGCTGCTGGTCCCATCTTCTACCCAGGGCCTTTCATCATGATGAACAACACAGTGTGGATTGTTTAGGGCCTGGTAAGTTTACTGACTTTTTCAAATTTGACATGTGTAAGTTTTTTCGTCTTTTATCCTATTTTTTTCCCATCTACTCTCATTTTTCTTTCTTCCTGTTGCTCATTTCTTTTTTTAAATGCAAAACAGTATTTTTATTAAAAATCAGGAAAATATTGTAATAAAGTTTGTATTCATCAAATGGTACCATTAAAGATACAAAATGAAGTGACAGATTGGGGGAAACTAATTACCTCATATATAGCAAAACACTTTTTTTTTTTTTTTTTGGTACTGGAGATTGAACTCAGGGCATTCAACCTTGAGCCACATTCCCAGCCCTATTTTGTGTTTTATTTAGAGGCAGGGTTGCTTAGCGCCTTATCATTGCTGAGGCTGGCTTTGAACTCACCGTCATCCTGCCTCAGCCTCCCGAGCCACTAGGATGACAAATCCATGCCTGGCTCAAAACACTTTTTATAGAAAGGAACATATAGGGAGCCCCAATAAGAAAGAAGGCAAGAGAATGGAAATAATACTGAACAAAACATACATATTTCATCAACAAGTATAAAAATCACCATCTTTGGAAATAAGAGAAATTTTAAAAAATCACATCTCAGAGACAAAATAAAAAAATGTCAATGAAGATATGGAACAAATGTATTTTCAAGAGCTAAAGATGAGGTGTGAATCATTAACGATGTATGAAAACTGGCTATTAAAAATATATTATATTGGCCAGGGTTTTGGCTCAGAAATAGAGTGCTTGCCCACCATGGTGAGGCACTGGGTTTGATCCCTGGCACCACATAAAAAGCAAAACAAAACTGAAATAAAGGTATTATATCCATATACAACTTTAAAAATAAAATAAAAATGAAAGGTACACGCTAAAAAGAAAAAAACATTTTAAAATAAACACACACACGTATATAGATAGATAATTCCCCACCACAAGCACTGACTGTACACATGAACCATGATGATACAAAAGGATATAACTTTCTCAAAATCTAGTGTATTAGATGTTAGCATACTTTAGTTTTTTCTGTTTGTTTGTTTTGTTTTTTGGTACCAGGGATTGAACTCAGGGACCCTCGACCACTGAGCCCCACCCCAGCCCTGTTTTGTATTTTATTTAGAGAGAGAAGCTCAGTGAGTTGCTTAGCACCTTCCTGTTGCTGAGGCTGCCTTGAACTTGAGATCCTCCCACCTCAGCCTCCAGAGCTGCTGGGATTACAGGCAGGCATTACCATGCCTGGACCATAGTTGACTTTTGTTGATCTCCTGGGGATTGAATTCAGGGTCACTAAACCATTGAACCACATCCCCACTCCTTCCTTGTATTTTTAGAGACAGGGTCTCACTGAGTTGGTTAGGGCCTCACTAAATTGCTGAGGCTGGCTTTGAACTTGCCTCGGCCTCCTGAGCAACTGGAATTACAGGCTTGCAGCACCATATTTGGCTAGCATACTTAAAAAAATGTTCTTTTAGGTATATATGATAGTAGAGTGTATTTTGACATATTATACATACATGGAGTATAACTTATTAGGATCCCATTTTTGTGATTGTACATGTTATGGAGTTTCACTGGTTGTGTATTCATATATGAACATAGAAAAGTTATGACCAATTCATTTTATGTCTTTCCTATTCCTATCCCCTCTTTCCTTCCCTTATTTGTCTAACACAATGAACTTCTATTTTTTCTTCCTTCCCCCTTATTTTGTGTCAATATCTACATATCAAAGAAGACATTGGGTCCTTGGTTTTTAGAGATTGACTTAGCATGGTAGTCTCTAGTTCCATCCATTTATTGGCAAGTGACATAACTTTATTCTTCTTTATGGCTGAATAATGTTCCGTTATGTATCTATACCACATTTTCTTAGTCCATTCATCTGTTGAAGGGCATCTAGGTTGGTTCCATAGTTTAACTAGATTTTCCCAAAATCTAAAATATTTGGAAATCTTAAATGAGCTGCTATAAACATTGATGTGGTTGTGTCACTGTAGTATGCTGATTTTAAATCCTTTGGGTATAAACTGAGCAGTGGGATGACTGAGTCCATTAAAAGTTTCCATAGGAATCTATGTAGGCTTTGCACCAATTTTCATTCCCACCACAATGAACCTTTTCCCCCACATCCTTGCCAGCATTTATTTTCACTGGTATTCTTGGTAATTGCCATTTGGACTCAAGTAAGTTGGTATCTCAGTGTTTTAATTTGCATTTCCATAATTGCAAGAGATGTTGAACATTTTTTTTTCATGTATTTCTTGGCCATTTGTATTTCTTCTGTGAAGTGCCTCTTCAGTTCTTTTGACCATTTGCTAACTGGGTTGTTTGTTTTTGTGGTCTTAGTTTTTTGAGTTCTTTGTAGATCCTGGAGATAAATGCTGTATCTGAAGAGCAGATGGCTAAGATTTTCTCCTGTTCTGAAGGCTCTCTTTTTACTGTTTCTTTTGCTGTGAAGAAGCTTTTTAGTTTGACACTATCCCAATTATTAATTTTGGTTTTACTTCTTTCACTTTACAAGTCTTATTGGTGGGGGGTCAGTTCCTAAGCCAACATTATACAGAAGTGAGCCTACATTTTTTTCTGGTAAGCACAGGATCTCTGGTCTAATAAGCAGGTTCTTAATCCATTTTGAGTTTTGCACAGGGTGCAAGATGGGGGTTTAATTTCATTCTACTGCCTAAGGATTTCCAGTTTTCCCAGCTCCATTTATTAAAGAGGCTGTCTTTTTAAAAAATATATGTTTATGGCTCCTTTGTCTAGCATGAGATAACTGATATTTGTTAGTATGATTCTATACCTTCTATTCTGTTCTGTTGGCCTGTTTGGGGGCCAGTACCATGTTGGTTTGCTACTATAGCTCTGTAGTTCTGATATTCTGATGCCTCCTGCTTCACTTTTCCTGATGAGGATTGCTTTAGCTGTTCTGGGCCTCCATCCAAATGAATTTCATGACTGCTGTTTCTATTTCTATGAAGAAATAGAAATTGCAATTTCAATAGGAATTACATGAAATCTGTATAGTCCTTTTGGTAGTATGGACATTTTGACAATATCGATTCTGTATATCCAAGAGCCTAAGAGGTCTTTCTATCTTCTAAGGTCTTCTTCAATATTTTCCTTTAGTGTTCTCTGGTTTTCATGGTTTTGTTAGATTGATTTGCAAGGGTTTTTGTTTGTTTGTTTGTTTTTGTTGGTTTGTTTTTGAGGCTATTTTGAATGGGATAGTTTCCCTAATTTCTCTTTCAGCTAATACATCATTGATATATAGTACTCATTTTTAATTTTGTCTGCATCTGTATCTTCATTAGAGACACCAAACACGTTAGCCTCTTCTAGTAAAGGTAAGAGGTTGCCAGATGGTCTTCTGGGTTCTTGATGATGAGTAGTGAGTGATGTTGCCACTCTTTGGACTGCATCTGTCAGCCCCTTGTGCATATGAACCTCGGCTATAGTTTAGCTATGTAAAACTTTGTATGACACCTAGAGGTGTCCAAATAACCTTAAACTAGCATGTTAGAAAGATTTTCATATAGATTTCTCTCTCCTTCATGTACCCCAAGTTTTTCTGATCAGTGTATACCCAGCATTTGCCCTCACGTCAGAGATGCTAAGGAAAAAACATATTT